ATTTGAGGCATCCAGTAGAATGTTCTAATTATACAAAAACACACACACACATATGAAATAATAACAACAAAGTCCATGCTCAATAATCCAGGTATACAATCCAACATTTTTCAGTCAAGTCATATGAAATAATCCAAAAAAATAAATAAAATAAAAAAAGAAAACAAGAAGCAGAATACACAAAGACATCCACAAGGTGGTAGGAAGTACTACATCCACGATTAACACATGTCATACATACATACATGTATATATCCCCTAACGCAGGGAGCAGCCGAAAGAATAATAATAATAATAATATATGCATACACACATTATTATTGATAATAACTCTTTTAAACAAGTATTGTTTGTACATTTGTGTTCACCCAATTTACCAAGTTTCTGACACCAGTCTAACATTTTGCTTGAAGTGTATTTCAAAGTGCATAATAGTAAAAACCACTCAAACGGTTCTATTCTTGTTGGTTTGCTCCAGTAGTACTGAAGTCTCAGCTCGCGTGCAGAACACGTGAGTCTCTGCACGTAACACGCTGTTTGTGCGGACCCACTTTGTGCCGCGCTGTGATTTTCTATTGGCGCACCGCGCGAGCTCACTTCCCTCTGATTGGCTCGGCTGTGGGCGTGTGCCATTCAAGAGCTTGATTGACGTCCATTCTTACTGGCCAATACAAATACCTCAACGCCATTGGTCCACATCCCTCCCATTCCGCCTTCGCTATTGGCTGGCGTTTTTGTCACCGCGTAAGAATGCGGAAGTAGTGTAGTCTACTGAGTCACCGTTGTGTCAGCTGATGCTTTGAGTGAGTAACTCGGTTTATTTTTTCTAAATTAAGTAACTGCTGAATAATTAATTGGTGTGGTATACTATTTAGCTGTCAGGATTGACTTGTACTTGTGAACCTTTAGATTTTTTAAATCGTTTTCTGTGCTCAAATGAACGGTTTTTGCCCAGTAGCTTCTAATAGCTTTGCTAGCATGCTAGCATGCTAATGCGTTTTGCATACACCCCCTCACACACCCTCTCACACACTTTCGGTTTGTCAAGTTTTTATTTGGAGTCAATCAGTTTGCAGCAAGGCTGCCGGCGTCCACTTTCACTTCCCCTTTAAATAATGTCTTCAAACTTTACCTTTAGTTTACACCTGTTGTTTTCACATGTTCTTTGGAAATTTCTAGTCGTGTTTTGGTCAGGGGGGAAAATCACCCTGGAATCAGTCATTGCTTAAAAAAAAGTCTGAAGAGGAAGAGAAACTATTTGAGCATTTCATCGATGCCACTAACATTAGATGCGGGTGAACTGTTTGAAGAGCAGACATGACCCGAGTTCTCAGTAAGTAGGATTTAAATGATTGATGCTGTTTACTGTGTTAGTTCCTCTTACATTGTGTGATTTATTTTTGAGCAGACCAGTTTACCAAAACTCTATATTTACAGTAGTTTACCCTGCAGAACAATTAACGTAGGAACTAGTTTTTTTTTATATGTCCTTTTAATATTTTCAATAAAAAGACCAGTATACTCAACAGAGTTCAATTCAGTTTATTTATATCACCAAGTCACAACAGAAGTACCCTCAGGGCACTATTATTAGTACTATTTTCAAACCAAGTAGTGTTGTAGCTGAACATTTGACACAATTCAAGTAATGAAACCCGAATTTTGTATTTTGTCGCTTTGCTTAGTGGCGCTTAAATCCATTATTTTGAATTTATACCAGGCTGCCAGGAAGGCTCTTTATTTCCTGATCTATGTCGTAAATCTTGTGTTTTAGTGTTTTAAGATTCCAACAGTTGCCTCTGCCTCAAACCTCTTATATACACTTATAACTATAGCTGTCAATCAATTAAAAAATTGATCAGATTAATCACACTCTGGGGCTGTGTTTAATCATGATTAATCACTATGCTTAACTTTGTGAGCTTGACATGGAACTATGCAGGGTTTCATAAAATGTTGAAGAAAATGTTTTATTGTCTCAAACCAAACAGTTTTCCATACTCGGCAAGGTTTAAAGAAGTCATTCTGTTTCAAACATTAATTTATATTTGTTAACTCACATGTAAACTACAATGTTTCCTCTAATTTTTCATGTGTCTGGGAAAACACACAAGCTCCCTGAGCATCTGAGCATCCCTCTGCATCCTCTGTCCTCACTCCAACTACCTCCACCGCATCCACATATCATCTCTTTGTCTTTTTCCTGCAGCTGCATTTCTAACATTCTTCTAATATACCCACTGTCCCTCCTCTGGACATGTCCAAACCATCTCAGTGTGTCCTCTCTAACTTTATCTCCCAGTTGTTCAACCTGTGCTGTACCTCTGATGATCTCATTCCTAATCTTATCCATCCTTGTCACTCCTAACAAGAACCTCAACATCTTCATTTCTGCCACTTCCAGTTCTTTGTCCTGTCTTTTTTGTTAATGCCACTGTCTCCAGACCATACAACATAACTGGTCTCACCACTGTTTGTAAACTTTTCCTTTGACCATCCAGATTTACACAGTTATACACTGAGCACTGCTGTTTGCTAACGCAAGTGCTGATCATAAAATTAGAATATAATGAAAAAATTGATTTCAGTAAATCCATTCAAAAAGTGAAACGTATATTATTTTCATTCATTACACACAGACTGATATATTTCAAATGTTTATTTCTTTTAATGTTGATAATAACTGACAACTAATGAAAACCCCAAATTCAGTGTCTCAGAAAATTAGAACGTTACTTAAGACCAATTAAAAAAATGATTTTTAGAAATGTTGTCCAACTGAAAAGTATGAACATGAAAAGTATGAGCATGTTCAGCATCAATACTTAGTTGTTGCTCCTTTTGTCTGGATCACTGCAGCAATGCAGCGTGGCATGGAGTCCATCAGTCTGTGTCTCTGCTCAGGTGTTCTGATCGTGGCCTTCAGCTCTTCTGAATTGTTGGCTCTGGTGTATCACATCTTCCTCTTCACAATACTCCATAGATTTTCTATGGGGTTAAGGTCAGGAGAGTTTGCCGGCCAATTAAGAACAGGGATACCATGGTCCTTAAACCAGGTACTGGTAGCTTTGGCTCTGTGTGCAGGTGCCAAGTCCAGTTGTAAAATGAAATCTGCATCTCCATAAAGTTGGTCAGCAGCAGGAAGCATGAAGTCTCTAAAACTTCATGGAAGATGGCTGCGTTGACCTTGGACCTCAGAAAGCACAGTGGACCAACACCAGCAGATGACATGGCACCCCAAACCATCACTGACTGTTGAAACTTAACACTGGACCTCAAGCAACATGGATCCTGTGCCTCTCCTCTCTTCCTCCAGACTCTGGGACCTTGAGTTCCAAAGAAAATGTAAAAGTTATTTTCATCAGAGAACATAACTTTGGACCAATCAGCAGCAGTCCCTGGCGAGACGCTTCTGACGCTGCCTCTTGTTCAAGAGTGGCTTGACACAAGAAATGCAACAGCTGAACCCCTTGTCTTGCATACGTCTGTGTGTGGTGGTTCTTGAAGCACTGACCAGCTGCAGTCCACTCTTTGTGAATCTCCCCCACATTTTGGAATGGGTTTTGTTTCACCATCCTCCATTGTGTGATTATCACTATTGCTTGTACACTTTTCTCTACCACATCGTTTCCTTCCTTTCGTCTCTCTAATAGTGTGATTGGACACTGAGCTCTGTGAACAGCCAGCCTCTTTAGCAAAGACATTTTGTGTCTTGACCTCCTTGTACAAGGTGCCAATGGTCGTCTTTTGGACAACTGTCAAGTCTGCAGTCTTCACCATGATTGTGTAGCTACAGAACTAGACTGAGACCATTTAAAGGCCTTTGCAAGTGTTTTGAGTTAATCAGCTGATTAGATTGTGGCACCAGGTCTCTTCAATTTTGAACTTTTTTGCAATATTCAAATTTTCTGAGATACTGAATTTGGTAATTTCATTAGTTGTCAGTTATAATCATCAACATTAAAATAAACATTTGAAATATATCAGTCTGTGTGTAATGAATGAATATAATATACACGTTTTACTTTTTGAATGGAATTACTGAAATAAAACTTTTTCATGATTTTCTAATTTTATGACCAGCACCTGTAGCATGATCAAATTTAAAACGGCTACAAGTCGTGG